AATGACGTCGAATACTACGGAATAATTGAGGAGATATATGAACTTGAATATGAGGGTCGGGTACCTCTTACTCCTGTCATATTCAAGTGCCACTGGTTTGATCCTGCACGAACGAGACGGACCCCTCATCTTGGGCTAGTCGAGATTAGGCATGATTCCGTCTATAAAGGAAAAGATGTCTATATTGTGGCTCAACAGGCCGTGCAGGTGTATCATACGCCATACGCGTGCCAAGACACTTAAGGATTGGTCTATTGTGCACAAGGTATCTTCGCACGGTAAACTACTTGTTCCAAACGATGAAGATTACACCTTCGACACAAACACATATGATGGAGAGTTCTATCAAGCAGATGAGCTACAAGGGAGCATTGAGATAGTCTTAACCGGTGTGACGACCGCCATGGAAGTAGACAATGAAACGGTTGATGACGAGGACCCTGGAGATGTAGTGCTAAATCCGAAGGACATTCAAATGCTTGAGCGATTCCATTTAGGCAAAGACAATGAAGAAGACACAGAACCTTTGAATAGTGTTGCCCATTTGGACAATTTTGACAGTGATGATGAGACCTATGACCCCAATCATGAAGATTATTCCTAAACCATGTAATACTATGTTTTTTATTAAATTTTGTTATGTTTATTCATTTTGAACTATTTGACATGTATGTACTAACGCTTGTTGTTCATTCTTTGTACATTGCAGGTGACAGAACAAAGATGGTGGGCAACCATTCACCGAGGCAGGTGTTCTCGGTGTACCAGAGGCTACGCCCTCCTGATGGAGGCGAGGGGACGTCTTCGCCCCCAGCGGCGAGAGCAGGCCTGGGTCGCCCCAGCACAGGGAGGGGAGGGGGAGGGGGAGGGGTCACCCTAGGAGGGACCCGCCTCCTCCCCCGGCTCTCGACCAGCCGGAGGACCCATCTCCTACCTCGGTGGAGCACGTGGCGGCCACGGGCACGACCACAGACACTCTGTCGGGGGATGAGGGGACTCAGCAGACGGAGGACAGTTCTGCTTTCTCGGCTCCCTACCTGCGAGGTCCCACAAGCCTTCCTCCGATTCCGCTTCCTGACCGACGCCCACTGGTTCGTCCTGTGGGAAGAAGGTAAGTAACTATAGATGTTATCACTAGTACTTCATATGATACGTTGAAAATCAAAAGAGAAACTGATAATTTTTCGTAATCACTTGTGCAGGGGCTGGCTAGTTCTGTCGGGTGCTCTTGACCCCCCACGCACCCCCGCTACCATCCTGGGATGTCTGTGCAGGAAACACTTCCCCGACCTTGTGGACTTGAAAGAGGGGAGGTGGGAGCCGGCCTGGGCGTGGGACAGGTACAAGCTCGGCTCGGATGACGAGTAGGACAACAAGCAGGAGCGGGTTTTGGCGGACTTTTGGGCAAGTGTCTCACAACATAGCTCAATACATCTCCTCTATTGCTTAAGTCTTTTATTGAAATAATGAACGGATACATCATGTTTGTATGCAGAGGTACTTCAAGGCCGAAGAAGGTAGAGAGACCCTGGCGGATCAGACGGCACACAGAGCCTGTAAGAAGTACGTCGGCGACATGATTCATGAGGCGCGACTCCAGGCCCACGTCGACTACTACAGGTCCATCAAGAAAGAGCCCCTCAACAAAACCGGCGCAAGAAATGTGGCGCTGACCAAGGAGCAATACCTTCAGGTAGGTGAATAATATTAATTCGTTTTGAGATTTAGTAGGTCCAGAATTGATCTTCTTATATGTCAAACACTTGATGATGTGTAGGTGCCGGCCTCGTGGTGCATGTCGCATAGATCGGCATGGTCGAGGATCATGGACAGGTACCTTGACCCGGCATACATCGCAAAGCACGAGCAAGGCAAGCGGAAGCGGGCACTGAGGACCGCTCCAACTCACCACCAAGGCAGCCGCAACCTCCCCGCATTCAAGCGGGCACTTGTACGAGATGTCATTTATCTATTCTAACGCTCAATTTTGCCTGATTTCTAATCATCTTGCCATCTTTCTCGCAGGAGGTGGCACACCCGGACGTGCCGGTGTCGGAGTTTGGGGCATGGGCTGTGTCCCACATGGGCCCGGTGAAATCCGGTGACGTCTTCAACCCGGATGCCCCTGCCCAGGCTTACTCTGACCCGAGCGTCCACGCTAAGGTCAGAGACTACACGGAGGCGGTTAGGGCGCTCCGTGGCTCAAATCACAATCTGAGCACTGAGGCCCTTGAGACAGAGGTGATCGTGAGGCTGGGGCAAGGCAGGAAGCATGGGCGGTTGTGGATTGCAGACGGCGCTGACTCCTCGAGCTCTGCACCCTCTCTCTCTGACGTGAGGGCACGGAGCACGGCCAGAAGCCTTCCCATACGTGCACGGCCTACTCCAACACTGTCGCGGGTCGACGAACTTCAGGTAATTCTGGTTTCACTCGTCGTACATTGAACGTTACACACATTGATCAGATTTGCAATACTGAAACATGTGATTGAAACACTGCAGGCCGAGCTGGCAGAGACAAGGGAGACGCAAGCGCACCTGACCGCAGAGCTGGAGGCCACGAAGAAGCAGATGGCGGACATGTATCAGATCATGCAAACCATCGGGCAAGCATCGGGTGTCCAAGTGCAGTTGCCAGCTCCAGCTCCGGTTCGACACTTCACTCCTGTGAGTATGGAAGTTTAATGCGTTCATGCCGTTGGGATTGTCGGCTTCGTGCCATTGTGACTTTCGGCCTTCGTGCCGTTGTGATTGTCGGCCTTCGTGCCGTTGTGATTGTCGGCCTTCGTGCCATTGTTTCTTGCAGGTTGGAAACCTCCCCGTGCAGGGGAGGTGCTGTCGAAATTTTCAATTTTTAGTCTAACACATGCAATCTCTTCTCTTTTGTGCAGCCTCCGTCGGCGGGTTCAAACAATCCCGCTAGCGTGTCACCGGCGGCTGATCACGTCAATCCTTCGCCGCAGTTCGGTCCTTCACCGCTGTTCAGGGGGCCACACCAGCAGTTTTCGTCGCCGCAGTAGAGATGTTGAACTTTGTGATGTCGAACTTGTAATAATAAACTTGTGATGTTGAACTTTGGTGCATTTGTGATGGATTTTCGATGGATTTATTAAATATGCGTGTGCTTGTGATATATAATGCATGTTGGTGATATAGATGTGATGATTGATATATATATATATATATATATATATATATTGTCTGTTACAATGGAATGTAAAAAAAAAATTACAATTCTCGGGGTCTTTGCCGAGTGCCATGGACAAGGCACTCGGCAAAGTTTTTTTTCAAAAAATCCAAAAAGTTATTTGCAAAGATTTTCGGCAAAGTATTTTTTTTAAAAAAAACTTTGCCGAGTGTCTGAGCAGGGACACTCGGCAAAGTATTTAAAAAAAAAACTTTGCCGAGTTTTGAAATTCAAACGCAGTTTTGCATAACAAGATGATTTCAAATCAAAAAGTTGCCAACTACAATGTTTCTTAACTTTTCGAGATCTACACTTTTAGTTTCGGAAGTTTTTCCATCCGAGGCCGTTTACAAAATTTGAATTTCAAAATTTTGAAATTCAAACGCAGTTTTGCATGACAAGATGATTTCAAATCAAAAAGTTGCCAACTACAATGTTTCATAACTTTTCAAGATCTACAGAGTTTATTTTGGTTGTTTTTCCATCCGAGGTCGTTTGAAAAGTTCGAATTTTAAATTTTTGAAATTCAAACACAGTTTTGCATGACAAGATGATTTTAAATCAAAAAGTTGCCAATTACAAAGTTTCATAACTTTTCGAGATCTACAAAGTTTATTTTGGTTGTTTGGTCATCTGTTCATCCGACATGGTCGTTCTAACATTGTTTACAAATCTTTTATATCTCTCTTGTAGTTTCATAAACTACAATAGAGATATGTTAGAGTTATGAACAAATTTACTTTCACTTTGTCATATGAAGAAAAGACCAAAACAAATATTGTACATCTTGATGAGTTATACAACTTTGTAGTTGAAAACTTTTTCATTTGAATTAATTTACTGCTTCAAAATGTGCTTTGAAATTTTCTTTGCCGAGTGTAAAAAAAAACACTCGGCAAAGAGCTTCTTTGCCAAGTGTCAAAAAAAAAAAATATTCGGCAAAGAAGCTTTTTTGCCGAGTGTAAAAAAAACACTCGGCAAAGAGCTTCTTTGCCGAGTGTCAAAAAAAAACACTCGGCAAAGGCGTCTTTGCCGAGTTCCCAAAAAACAACACTCGGCAATACACTTGGCACTCGGCAAAGAGCCGGTCTCCGGTAGTGCTACCAACCCCTGTGATTATTTATTCTAGATTCGCCACTGTTTCCAGTGTGCGTGAAATAAGTTTCAAAAGTTTGATCAGATTTTAGTTGAAACTAGCGTCATGTATTTGTGATCAAGGGAGTATCTTAGTATTTGGTTTAACCATTTATTTTCTTATTTATACCTAATATGAAAGAGAGAAGGGTCTCTCTTTTTTTACTTCCTACAACACCCCCATGCTTCTCCATGTCCTATATATGACCTGAAATCATCGTTGTCTGCTCTCATATGAGTTAGAACAACGCGCATCCACTGACGGTGCCAAGTCTGAATCCAAAGACATATTGAAACGCATGATGCGGTCGATGAGTAAATCTCTAAGCCCAAAAAACGTCCATGCATGTTACCACTCAACAAGCAGGACTTTGCCTTATAATTAAGGCACGGATATATTTGCTACTTACATGTAAACATGTAAAGTGAGAGCGATCGAAACAACACAATATCATTCAACCAGCATACATGCACGCTTGCACTGAATGAATGCGAGAATACGACGACGTATACAAATTAAACCACTAACACACACAACTAAAACCAAATCCCGTGCGTAATATAATTTCTTTTCAGACGAAGAACTCACGAGCGAAAAGACGGCACACACACAAACCACGAAGTGCATTATGCATGCTTCTATCATATACGGCGCCACCGCGCGCGCGCCACCGGTGAACTAACCAACGACGGGTCTGCCGGCGTAGAAGGTGTCGACGTAGACGCGGACGCGGAGGGCGTTGTACCCGGGCGCCACGTTGGTGCCCCATGGGAACACCTCGATGGTGACGTCGGGCCTGTCTCTGTTGATCTTAGTCGTCGCGTCCGCTGCCGGCCACCCAACCACCTCCGGCCACGACATCCTCACGCTCATTCTCTTTCTCCCCCTTCCTCACTCGATAGGATCTTCGACTGATTCAGAACAAGTGCAAGATCGACTGCTAGCTGCGTGCACTTTGTTTTTAGTCTAGTAAAGTAATAACTGTACTAATGAGGAAGTTATTGGATACAGGAATCTCTCATCGCTCTTGATGGTATTTATAGGGTCACCGTAGTTGAAGGTGCATGCATCGATGATTATTATGGGCACAAACAAGAGCTAGCCTTGGTATTGTCACCCCATCTGCTGGCGTTTGCTTCATTATTCGGATTTAATTACAGAAAATTGACAACACAGCTGAATAAATCACTGTCCTTTGCGACAACCAACGATCGCAAACTTGTTGTGGCATTGGGTGATACTACACTTTAAAAGATGGATTATAAAAACTAATCCGAGTACGTGTTATCCATATCAGCCACGATGTGTGTGTTAATTTGTTTAGCTTTGTATCTCTTGACAGCGCTGAATATTCGGCTGTTGCTATATTAGATAGCCATAGTCATACGTAATAACAAAGCAAAACAAGATATAGCCACCTTCTGAACGTAGCTCATGGGAGCTACAATCAACAAAGTTGTCGCAAAAAATAACGAGAATTACACCGACAATGAAGGGCTCTAGCTCGACGATGTACTCTATGCACGCGCACTTAATTATCACAGCACAAAATTGAAGAAACTAACAAGGATATCCGTAACTTAATTATCACTCCAAGGCGTGCTGCTCCGCCACGGCGTGTTCCCAGCGATGGAGGCTGGGCTCGGGGACCGGCGTGGGTGACGCCTGCATGGCCGCGGGGCTGGCACTAGTGCGCTTCAACAAGGACGTGTTCGTTCGGCCCGTTCTCATGGGCCCCGCCGTTGGCGAGATGGTGGCGTCCGTGTCCTTGTCGGGCTATGGCGGCGCCGCTGCGCGCGCTCAATGGACTGGTGGGCGCCATGCAGAAACCGCTGATGGACGAGCTCCACGTGCTGTGCGCGCCCGCACTCCGCACCGGGTACTGCGGGCGCAGGGAGGTGGTGGATTCGCTCCTCGCCGAGAGCCTCGTCAAGCACCTCCTCTACCTGAGACGACGGGCTATAGTTCATAGGTTTGGGGAACTTAGGCGAAAGCCATGCATGACCCTGTCTGTGCGACCGACGGCGACGCCCTCCGTCGCCGTTTACCTCCTTGGAGGCGTCGATGTGTAGGCTGCCCAACCCATGACTGTAGTACTGTCCCTCTCCTTATGATGAAAACCTAGCTCTAGTTATCAGGAGCCGGTGGTGGTGGTGTCAACGACGTCGTATCCCTCTTGAGGGTGCCACTGTGGAGGGGCAGATTCTGGCTCCCACTATCGCGATGGCCAATCCGTGCTTGCTGCATCTGCTAAGCAGGTTCCAGGATGCAAGCCCTTATGGGCTTGGTGCTCTATTCATCGATGGTGGCGTCCGTGGACGTCACTCTCTTTCATGAAGGCATCGATGCAAGCATACCCGCTTCCGTGCGCGCCCCCACGTACCCTTGTGCTCTCCTCGGTTGCTCTCCTCCCCATTTTGTTGTTGGTATGGCTACTCTCCTACCCCTTGGCCTCTGCAAACACTACTTACTGTCTGGTGCTCGCCACCAACGGCTTGCTCTGCCGTTCTCTACATCACTTGAGTGCTTCGCCTCATCATATGCTGGGTGGTGGGGACCTTGATCTCCTCTCTGGATCTCCTCGTTCTCCTCCTGGCGACCCTCCCCTTTGTGGCTTCCTTCACCCAAATGGCGTTGGCAGGCGTTGGTTGGAGCTCAGATGCACTCTTAGGCGATGCTACTTAAGGCTGCCGCATGTTGTCTCCGACTCAATGCCTTGCAGCTTCCTGGCTGCCGTCTGTCATATCCCACTCAATACCTTATAGCTGCATGTGATGTGGAGCTCCTCGGAGTATGTCTTTGGTGGTGGCATAGGTTAGGAAGTTGTGCTTGCAGTCGCTTTAGCCAGTAGGCGAACTTGGTAGCTGAATCATGTTGTGTTTGTGGTTGTTCTGTTTAGTGTTGTATTTCCTCTCTCCTTAGTCTTTATCATGTACGTCTCGAAACTTTGTATTGGGATTGACACCATGCCCTTCCACCTCCCGGCTAGTCCGGCATCTGTGGAATGAAATTAAGGTGGGGAGGCCTTTCTCCCCCCAGTGTTGACCTAAAAAACGATAGTTGCTCTCTTGCTACCCAACTTTAATTAGGAAACTTTAGACTATTGTAATATACTAGTGCCAGAGAATGGCATAGCCTAGCTTTCCTCCACTAATACAGCAACCAACTTCAGAGATGGGCAAAACATACGAACTAAGGCGGGTGAGCAGCCCACATCAATCAAAGGAGTCTGTGTTAATCCAAAACAACAGAGACGGCCCAAAAACTGATTCTATCAATCAAATAAAAAATAAATAAAAGCAGTGATGAGAGTCTAACAAAGGGTATGTGAAGTCCTTGGGTCGAGGACACGACTCTCCAAATGAGTCGGGGGCTCGAGGGCTAAACCCATAGGGTGCGCTCGCGCTCAACCACCGGTAGAAAAGAAATGGCTGGTCAACCCATAAATGGCCCACCCTCGAGGAGGTCTTCGCTATCAGAAGGGCACGCAGCCCCTCACTTGGGCTTAGGGGCTCCGCCACGGCGCCGGGATTCCCGGTTCAAGGGGAGCCCCGGCCTAACGCAGACATCTGATTTGTTGCTTTTTCAGCTGTTACCTGCATGCATGCAGGCTGTTGCACTGCTACAATCCCCTCGTAAAGCCGGTATGCATGAGGGCTCCACATCTAAAGGCAACCAATGAGATGCAAGCATATGAACGCCGCGTACACTTATACCTGTGGTTCTACTCGTTCTGAGCATTTGGGAGAAGAGCCAGAGCCTACACAGCCCTGTCATCACTGAAAAAAAAATGGTTCTATCTGAAAAGAAAGACACACCCGCATGAGTATTTTATTAGTTCAGACTTGAAAATATTTTGAAAAAGAAAAATTGTACTGATCTTGATGTTTATTGGTTCTATCGACATGCACACAAAATTCACATATAGAAACAGTATATGTACAGTAGGTATTACAATCTTAGCTGTACATGCTGACTAAGTCCACTACACTGCTATAACTTGGCCAAAGCTTGCATTGCACGCATTGTATATTTGTATGTAATAAACTAAAGCGAACTTAAAGTTTCCGCAAGTTCATACTCCCTTCCTCGCTTTTTATCTGTCTTTCTCGGTTCCTGAGACAAACGAACTCAACTTTGACCAAATATATGTAGAAATATTAATATTTATGGTATATAATTAGTATATTTAGATTGATCATATGTAATAAACTAAAGAGAACTTATAAGTTTCTGCAAGTTCATACTCCCTCTGTCCCATTTTATCCTTGGTTCTCACTTTCCAAGAAGTCAAACAAATTCAACTTTGACCAAGTATATATAGGAATATTGATGTTTATGGTACATAATTAGTATCATTAAATTGATCATTAAATCTATTTTTATAATAAATTTATTTAGAGATATAAATATTGCTAATATTTTCTAAAAAAACTGATCAAAGTTGAGAAAGTTTGACCCGCACATTCCCAATAGCAATAAATATAAAAATACAGAGGGAGTACAGGCATTTGTATTTGGAAGGACAATGCATATACGTCATCTGATTACGTTGCGCGTCCACCAGAACTGACTGCTAGCTGGCTACTTAGCAGTGAGTAGTGACTGGCTCCGGCCAGTGCAGAAGTATGGGCCTGTTTGGTTTACCAATCAAATTTGCCATAGATTTGGCAAAGCTAAAGTTTAGAGATTGACAACTTTTAGTAGCAAATTAAATAACAGCCAAAATCATGGTTTATCAAATCGTTGGCCTGGCATATTTTGGAAGCGAATCACTATATATATACATATGTATCTTTCTGACGGCACTATATATATATATATATACAGCAAAAACATATACATTCGTCTGCTACCACCTGGAAACCGTCGTCATTCGTCATCAACAAGGCAGGAGGCATGTGGACAACAAGGTGCGTACGTGGAGAGACGATCAGGAGTGCATGCGCATGCGACCAAACGCGGGCGATGCACGCAATGATGCATCTCACATCACATGCGTATGGAATTGATTATTACTTGCATTGTGTCCACTAACAATCGGCCTGTAATACTATAAATACGATGGAGATCAGCCGCGTAGCTCATGTACTCCAGGGTGTTATTGAGTTCCAGTAGAGTGCCAATCGATCCAACATCAGATCGAACTGAAGACGAAGCTCTTCAAGCAGCTAGCTAGTAGTAGAAATGGGGAGGGCGATGCCGTCAGCTGACGGCGGAGGGGATGAGCAGAAGACGTCGTGGCCAGAGGTGGTGGGCTGGGTGACGCTGAACGCGTCGTTCAAGATCACCAGCGACAGGCCCGACGTGTCGACTGCCTTCTACAGTGACACCACCCCGCTGCCGACGGACTATGACCCCAAGCGCGTCATCATCATCTCCGACTCCGGCAACGTCGTCGTCAAGACTCCTGTCGTCGGCTAGCTGGAGTGCTGGACTCCTGTCATCGGCTAGATCGTGCCCTTATCATCAGTCTGCAGTTTTTTTTCCCGCTAAGAACAATAACTTCCGCTTATTTTTATTTATTTACATCCATCCCTGCTACCTGGTTATCATGGAAGAAAAGAGTAGTGCTATTCATCGTTGAACATGTATTATCGTATAAGGATTGCATGTGTATTGTGTAATGTATCCTTTATTATCGAGTTGGTGCATGGTCAGCAACTCGGTGTTCAGGCATGCATGTATTCCTACATACTGAACGATCTTATCCTCGTGTTCAGAATTATTAAGAAATTCACTTGAATATTATTACACTACCCCATAACCTGCAATCCCCGCTGGCTCCAAACCGGTTTTCACTGCCGATTTTTCAACCGACCATGGGTAATCGACAGTGATAGCATTAGCATTTCATTTCT